TTTTTTTTTTTTTTTTAATTTTTTTCTCTTTTCGACAAACGCTCGATCGACACGGCGAGGCCGTCGTTACCGTCGTTTCCCTCTCTGCTCGACCGCCGTTAGTTCTCATCGGTGCACATGCGCCGACGTCTCGATAAAGGAAATAAACACCCGCGAGACTGCTCGCCAGGCGGGCGTCTAATTAACCGAATCCAATTAGTGGCGCGGGCGAACAAACGCTCGTTTCCGCTATTCCGCTGTTTCAACCGCTGTTTTCCATTCGGTTATTTTTCAAATGGGAGAATTTCCAAAGGGAATCGAGAAGCATCGAGACGCTACTCCACTAGCGGATTCTACCGGTCGGCGATCGAGAACGGCGGAAGGATCCGTAACGCCGTTCCGCGCAATCCGGTTATCGGGACGAGTTTCAACCTCGAGGCCGATTAATTCGTGAAATATCGTCGATTATCGTCCGAGGGATAGAAGGGGGAGGTGTTTCGAAGGGCCATGCTTGAGAAACGATTCAGAACAGTTACGCCGACGTCCGCCGGCGTTGACCGCGCGACATCGTGAAAACGTCGTTTTTTTACATTAAATCGTCTCCGGCAGCCGTTCCTCTCTGTCTTCGTTCCCGTTCTTCATCGAACTTTCGCGATACGTATACATCGGGCGTCCGATGTCGTGCCACTTTCTCCACGGTGCCACGATTCGCGGCTAGATGACCGCGCGTAACGAGATGACAGGCCGAGTCGTTGAACGAAACCGCGCCGATTACGTAATTACGTAGCTAGACGTAGCGATTCGCGTCACGACGGTCGCTTAATCGATTAACCTCTTGCGCTGGAAACGCACGTGCCATGCACGCCGAGAATCCTTTGCCCCAAAATTGCGATAAAACTCTCTCAGTTTTCTTAGTGTATTTAACCCTTTCGGTGACGAGAACTGTGCTTAAGTTAAATAAGAACTGCTTAATAAAACAATGTTTCTTCTAACAAATGTCGTTAGTTTTAATATTAAAGGACATTTATACTAAATTCTGTTAATTATACAAGTAACACTAGAATTATATAAGTACACACAGGTCACCAGATGGATGCCGGATATATCCGGCGCTCGTACCGAAAGGGTTAAATGTAACCCAGGCAAAACAAATGACAAATTTATTACCTTTTAGTAATAATTTCATCATTGCTTAATAATTACTTTATTATTATTATTTTGTTTTACTGTTTTATTGTTTAGCTTAATAATTTCTATCCAGCAGTACCATGCACCGACGAGTTCAAAGAGAAGGCGACGAATTTGGTCACTCGTTATGGTCCGTGAACCAGTTGCCGGCGCAAGAGGTCAAAAGGAAAAAAAGAAAAGAAGAAAAAAACGAGTGATAAGGATAAAGAGTTTGACTACTTGTGACCTACGTACGATACGATGTATGACAGAACGCGGGCGCCTGTCCCGAGACGTGTGACGCAAGAATCCGGTGGTTGGCAAAAACGTTCCTTGTATGAATATACATCGCGATATATATATATATATATACTACTATTGCCGAACCTTCCTGGAAGGGAAACAACTCGATATCTCGCACTTTCTTTCTCCCTTTCTCTCTTTCTCTCCTTCCTTCTGCCTCTGTTTTTCCTTCTCCTTCACTCGCTCTCTGGGTCCTGGCTGGTTTCTCTTTCTATTCCCGACCGCGCCGGCCCCGTCACGCCCAACAAACTTCTCCTACGGTTCGTAGCGGGCGTCACGCCGCATTTGTAATGTTTCCACGTTCGAGTTTCGACGGGTCTCCTCTCTCGAGGAGGCCAGCACCGCGGGGTGGAAAGCAAGGACAATGGAGACCACTCGTCGGCGCCCTTTCGAACCCGGCCCGAGAAAAGCCGCGGCCGATCTATGATTGGCTTCGATCGTTTCGCCTTGATTTCCAGCTACGGAGCAGAGCAGTTCATCGTCTAGTTTCCAGTCTGTTTTCCCCCGCGGACCGAAAGTTTCTGCTCTACCGGTATCAAGTGGAAAGAGGCCACCAGACAACGGCGGGATTCAGTTTGAAGTCGCTCTGCCTCAAGATAATGACCGTTAATTAATGCCAACCTTTCGATCCGTCGTTCGATATCGTCGATTTATCGCTCCAGAATTGAATTCCTTTCTTTCCGCGTGAGCAAAGATAACGATAGGTATCGATTCGGTCGTCACTGTTGTTGAAAACAACAGCCTCCGAGTCTGCCTGCTCGCAGCGTTTGTAACACACACTCGCCGCTGATTTATTTCGTCGCGAAAAAAAAATTCCAAGGCACGAGCGCCTGGCGCCATCAGCGCCACGATGCATACATTTTATCTCAGGCGCGCGCGTCTCATTTGTCGGTGTTCAACGACAAATCATCATCGAAACACGTGCGTTCTCAACCGCAGTTGCATAGCTGCATGGATATTTCGCGTGGAATATTTCCACTCCGAGGGGAGTCGTCGCTTAAGGAACAGACTTCGTCGACAGACAAGCAAAATCCGGTCCGATGGCCAACTCTCGCCGGACTATTAGCAGGGCGCTAGCCTCGACTCTCCGGTGACACCGCCACCATCCCCCTAGCCCCCGGAGTTAATGTTTTCATCGGGCGTATTTCGACGACGGCGCGCACCATATTTCAAGGTAATAATTTCTTAGCGGGTACACATCGGGCCATCGACCGCAAGCCACGGCAGTCGATGCGGCGCTGAAACGGGGACATCGGTCCTTTTGATCCTGGACCCTTTCGGGCCCCCGTCGGCCATTATCGACCTTTAAGGACCTTGCTGCAACTCGTAGAGCCGGTTACTACAACCGCGCGTACCGTTTCCTTCGGCCGATACCTCGGACCTCCCGGAGGTGTTACAGTATTCCCAACAGCGATTCGCTGAAAGTAGATTCGAGAAACGACATCGATAGATCCGTCCTGCCGTGGGAATCGATCGGTCTTCTTTCACGTATTCTTCTTTTCTTCTTCTTCTTTTCAGTTTCCGTCTTCCACGTACAGACACTGGTCACTGTCACGGTATTTTAGTTTCCTTTCTTCGTGGGCGACCGGAATTCGAGACATGAAATCGGATTTACTTCTCGAGGTTTGCTAATTCGCAGTTCTAGACTAACGATTGATAGATTAATACTACTGTTCGCGAAGCGTTCGACGTCGATACTCTTGCGACGCTTTTGCCAGCATTTTAAGAATTTTGTTTTCTCTGCTGCTAGTTTCGCTCGAGCGAGTAAGCTGGATCTTAAAGGCTGATTAAAGAAAAGAAGAAAAAGAAAAAAGAAAGGAAGAAAGAAAAAAGAAACGTGCATAATCGGCGATCGAGTCTTTGGACAACGGTGTAACGGTAGCAAAGAGGATAACGCTAATTAACGGGACGCCGGTGCGAGAGTTATTTTTGACCCGAAAAGCTTTTCTACACCGCTCGAGCGTAGCCAACCGTTCGTCTTACATCTAATGAATTTTTCATCGGGATGAAATGCAAAGTGGCTCGTAAAGTATACAACACGTTCGTTATACACTCGTTCGTATAAGTATCAAAGGGCCCCCCTTTAAACGCCCTTCCCCCCTCCCCTCCCCCACTTTCTTCTGCGTGTACTCCGGATCCTTGGTTACAAAGGGGATCGTTCATCGCTTCCAGAAGTCACGAAACAGAAACGTATCTCTCCAGACAACCGGCAAGGTGAACGATTTTATTCTATATATGTTAGACGAAAAACACTTGCCACCACCACCGATCGCGACTCGTTGAGTCATTGCCAATGGAATTAATACCCGTATTAATGCTATACATTATACGTACCTAGAAACTTTGTCTATTTGTTTCGTTGTTAAGTCTCTAGATTTTTGATCATGCAGTTCCTGTATATATATATATATATATATATCGTCCACTTGCTTTAAACCAAAGATTCCTTCCCCTAACCATCACTGTTTTTCACGTGAGCGTTATCGAGTTTTTCGATTCGTTACGTTCGTCACAGGTTTTTCTTTTTTGCAAATTTTAGTTTCTTACGCGATCCTTCGCGTCCCACG